ACTGGTCCTCTGTGCCCACTGTTCTACTGGTCCTCTGTGCCCACTGTTCCTCTAGTCCTCTGTACCCACTGTTCCATTGGTCCTCTGTGCCCACTGTTTCTCTGGTCCTCTGTGCCCACTGGTCCACTGGTCCTCTGTGCCCACTGTTCCTCTAGTCCTCTGTACCCACTGTTCCTCTGTTCCTCTGTGCCCACTGTTCCTCTGGTCCTCTGTGCCCACTGTTCCACTAGTCCTCTGTGCCCACTGTTCCACTGGTCCTCTGTGCTCACTGTTCCTCTGATCCTCTGTACCCACTGTTCCACCGTTCCACTGGTCCTCTATACCCACTGTTCCACTGATCATAATTGATGAATCACACACGAATCAAACTTGGACTGGCCTGAGGCATAGTTAGAGCTAAGAAAAAGTAAAATTCGAATACTTGATGTGCATGATATGATCAATACGAGCGGAATTCAGAGCCGCTCGCGAAGCAACTTTTGTGTTCTGTTTACTAAATAACGCTTACGACCAATATATTGAACTAGAGCTCGAGTTCTCAACCGAAGATGGACATGAAGCCTTTTCCAAGAGTTCATAAAACTTGCAAAAATTTTTCACTTTTCGGGCATAAGTAAGGCAAACAATTTGGGAGAGATTTGGCCGTTTTGCGAAGTAAAATCCAAAATCTCGAAGGCGATCCGCGATAACATATTAATCGGAATTCTTCTCTCTCACTTGCTTTAAAGATATTAATAAAGCTTTTCAACCCAGTTCCTAACTTGATTCTTAACTTATCTCCACAAAAGCGGAAAATTGACGGAATATCTATATTAAACTTTCTACCCCTCTTAGGTTTTTCTTTGAAATTTTCCTTGTCGTCCGACATTTTCATTCACGTGCGGCAGTGTTTTGACAGTTTGCATGGGTCATTGCTCTACTACTTTTAGTATTTTCCATGCTTCACTGGCGTGCGTCTTAAAATAGCGCTTCGTGATTGGATAGTTTTGACAGTTGTTGATTGACATTCGAAACACGATACGCATAACTAATCGGTGGGAGTTTCGAAGAATCAACGGGGTCGCTGGCACGCCCTTCCTTTCCTCTCCCCAAGCCTCTCTCCGCTCGGCTACCCACACCCTTCCCCCCTCCCTCTAGGGCCGCAACGCAGGCTAAAATCTTTTGATGAACCAGCTTTGCTAAATATTCGAAACATATGACTACTCTAGTAAGAATCACCGCAGTCTGCAAACCGGATTTCTAGGAGAAATCTTTGTCGGATTAGGCATACTTTCCGCCATGTTGACTTCGGAATCATGCGTACATTATTTTCAAAGGGGAAATGTTCATATGAATTATTTAAATCAATCAACCATCAAAATGCCGACGTGACCGGCCGATGCCAAAGCCTTTTTCCACTCCACCCCCAGCTAAGGGAAAAGGCCCTGGGAACGAGGTTGTTTGTGGGGAAGGTATTGGAAAATGAGCTATGTACAGTATTGCGCTAGTGGTTCACAAGAACCGTGTTGACTATGTCATGCTAACAATTTCAATGACTAGAAGAAAACCAGAGCAAAGTCGATTTTAATCGGTTATAGCTAAAGCTGAGGTTATGTGATTCTGAACATTTTTTTTTTCAAGAGAAGAATTATCCTCCAAGTCACATTATTACGTTGAAGGGAAATCGAAGAAATTCTCTTATAGATGACTGTCTAAGCACAAGTGATTTTACAAGGATCCACAAAATAAACATGTTGAACAGACACCGTTTGGAGATCTTTCAAGCAAGCAGGTGTTGTCTCGTTCTTCATTGATCTCTGTAAGAAAAGAAAGATATAAAAAAATAAATTTTCGCGCAAAATTGCACTAAAAATCGAGAAGGTCATAACATGTCCCTCCACAAATGCGCATGCAAATGTACACTGATTATAATAAAAGCGCTGCAGGCGTTTCTTCTCGAACGCAGCAAATCGTGAGTTTTTAACCCTTTACTTCCGTGAGAGATTAATAGTTAAATTCTCTGTCCAAATTTGATACAATAGAGTCAGCTTGGTGAGAAATAACATGATCAACTAGCAGTTACTGAGCTATTGAAAAACAGACGGTAAAAGTAAGAGAGCAAATGAAAGAAATAATCGTTGTTATCTGTTGGAACTCTTTACTTAGATCTTTAGACTGTCATAGTTGTTATTTAGTCTTGTCACGCAAGAAAAACGCAGAACGGGGGTAAGCTGCGTGACATAACCAAAGAGCAGTTGAGGATAGTAACGCTAGCTATGCACACACTGCAAAAAGAGATGGATCTGGCTTCTCCCATGTGTCGCTTTTAACGTCAACTGGCCCGCCCCAGCCAAAACCAATCAAAGATTTCGTTTGCTGACTGAACAGCAGAAAGACTGGCAGGCCCCTGTAACAATCCATGTCAACAGAGATGTTGTAGTGGTAGTGGACACCTGTCGAAAGAATAAACGGAAAACATTTTGTATATTAACCAATTGTGCTGAGAGGATTCGCAGCTGACTCATTCAGACGTTTTATTTTCTTATCTTTCTTTTCAGTTCTCTTTTTTTTTAACAAAGATACAAGGTTGCTAGTTTCGAGCACGGTATTGTTTGTCAGTTCGAGCCACGAAATGTCACTCATAAAATTTCCAACAAGATGGTTTGTGTACATGAAAGGGACTCCCACCCCTGGGTGTCGAGTAATCCGCTTCATACATAATTAAAAAAAAAAATCAAGGAAAATAATTCAATAAAACATAATTTATTGATACCCATTCTAGAAATACAGGTTCCTTCAACCCATGGCGTCCCTGAAATCTGATTTTCTTTAAGTGGCATGACCATGACGTCTTTCTTGAAGCGGAAGTCAGTTATCTGTAACCACATCCGGTCTCCTATTAGTGGTATGTTATTTACACCCTTTTTACACTTCCCCTTACAGACGCAAATTTCGTCCGGATCCCGGAAGTAGATAGTGACAGCCACCCGTCCATCATCAAGCGGAATCCACGGAGGCCGGTCACGTGGGATCGGATACTCATTTGTTGGATGGATCTGAGATATTAAAGGAAATACGCACGGAGAAATAAAGACAGATTACATTGGAGCGATTGGATGTAAACCGCAAAATGGATATTTAAATGTGAAGTGGATGTGTACTTGGCTACTCCAGCTGGTTACTGGTTCAAATTTTGGAATTAAAGGTTCAAGTCTGCACCCCCAGTCTCGTTCCCGGAACCCCCATTACCCTTGTCCCGCGGGACGAGCGCGACTCCTGATCTTAAGAACAAGTACAAGAACTCTGGGAGCGAAATTACCATACCCGCGACTGTATTACCTGGATGGGAAGCAAGCTCATTCCAGGCGAAATTCCTCTCCCCACCCCTCCCCCCCCCCTCAAGCCCCGTTATAACGGATTGTTTTAGCGTTGGGCAGAGCCCCATACCCATGGAATATGGTCAACCTCTTTTCGTTTGGTTGTCACGTGACTGACCGTACGTACGTACGTGTCTTCAGATTGCAAGGGTAGGGCAGGGGAGACTATCAAAACGAAGAGAGCGGTGTTTCAGGCGAGTCTTGGCAAATGCACATCTTTTATCTTATCATAAATATTACGAACTTGGGAGCTCCGCTTTTAGCCTTGGCTAAATCTATAGATTACCCATTTATACGCACGGGTGGAGATGGACGCTGTTAGTGTGAACTGTTTTGCTTAGGAACACAATACAATTGCCTCAAACTGGATCTTTTGATCTGGAATCAGGGGCTATCTCCTTTCTTTAAAATACTCACGGAAAATAGAGGACCCAAGTAAAACACATGACAAAGACACACACACACACATTAGTCTAGTTTTATGATGCTCTTAAAATAATTTGAAGTGGGCACGTGCCCCTCGGGGTGTGCTTTCAACTTGACTGACAAGTTCATGAATTTACGTAATTTCTTACCGTCGCCTGCATTCCAGCCAAGTTCCCATCACAGTCAAAGATAAGCCTTGTGGCATCATCGTCCTTTTGGGAGTAACGATTGCCATAGAAAAACTTGGCTTTTCCTGTATAGATTAAGCAATGAAGAAACATCTGAATGTTAAATTTCGACGACTGTCAGATAATGATACTTAAGTCTACTAAGGTCCAACATCTAAGGCTACGTTCACGATTAGTGCCCGAACATTAGTACCAGGTTACCGCCACAAAATGGTGCTATGTTCAGACATTGAGTACCCGGTATATCAGTGCCCGGTGTTCAATGCCCGAGTGCACGGTCTTAGAACGGGCACGGTGCCCGAATTCTGGCCTGGGTACTTAAAAAAAAAAGGTGTGTTCACATTAGTGCCCATCAAGAATCGCACTCGGGCACCGTCCTCGAGCGCCAAGTGTGAACGCAGCCTTCTTGTTCTGATATCCTGAACATATCCGCATGGAGAACTGGGTATGAATTATAGTCATTAAACTCGCGTTAAGGTTGTCGTATCCGTGGTAACGGTTTCCATAACACCACAAAACTGACTAGACCATTGACAAATAATGGGAGAAGAGGAAAATGGTTAAAACTATACATTGTTATCATGAACAAAGAAAATATAACCCAACCATAATAGATTGAATGTAGCTCCCATTGCGGGCCTATGTTTACGTAAACATCCGGGCAATCGCCCATGTGCTTTGAAAGGGAAAATCGTCGCGTTAGTTTCAAAAATGTTTGTTGCCGTGTATTTGTCGTTGTTTGTAAACCCTAAGCTCGAACAGTCGGTGAGTTTTGATTTCAGTTGTTTATGTTGTAATTTCGTTTGTTTTAAGCGTGTTTTCTGTTTGCAGAAAACCTCTCCTTTACTGGTTTGTCGAGTTTTCGACTCAAGCAAGTGTTTCTGTGAAATAAACAACATTGAACACTTCTCACACCAAAGTATTTCGTTCAGGCCCAGTACCTGAGCATTTTGTGTCTTTCCTCCAACCAGCCTTCACTGCCTGTTTGGAGGTCAGTGGACGGGGAGTAAACTTCCAAAATGTCACTGCAAAAAATACATGTACAAAGCTTTTTTTATTTTTATTCTTAATCAGTAAACCACTTTCTCCTCATAATTTGTTGGGAGACATCACGTTGGCGAAACTAGGAGATATTCAGATATATATACTTCATGAATATCCATTCAGTTATTGACGGATAACAGGATGTTACTGCACTTATGTTGTACAATGCAAGGTGCCATAAAGCAATACCAGCCACTTCATAAGTACTGTCCGAACTGGGAATATAAATTAAGTCAATCGGCTGCTTAAATAATTATAGGTAAATTACTTTCGGCCATTTTTATGACAAACCTCGCAGTTGATTCCACTCCGGTGAGCCTAGATTAGCGAAATAAATTAAAACATGGGATAATTAGAAAACTGGTATTCCGCAATTTTGGTGTGTATATATGACAAATATTTTTCAATGGAAATATAGATTTTTTTTTTCTGAACTTTCGTCAATCTTCTTGTTCCGTTGTATCTCTGTGCTACCGCTAGAAACTTTCGAACAAAAGTACAGGTGACAGAATTACCGGCATTTTCGGACGAACAATAAAGTTCGTTGGGAAAGTTACATTAAAAGAGACATATATTTGTAATTCCAAGATAATGAGATAACGAAGATAAAGAGAAAACGAACCTGTCATTTTTCGTACAGGTTATAGGTTATGGTAGATATCGCCTAAAGTTCAATTCATGAAAGGTTACGAAGAACTGGGAATTTTTACACTATACACTCTGTTTTACAGAGTACTTCCGAATACAGTGAAACATGTTCAAATAGATGCGTTTGGAATCGATAACTAGCCTTCAGATGAAGCCCCCTTTGGAAAATATGAAAACCTACCTTGCGAATGGAGAAAAAAGAGTTGGAGGCTCACTGCAAAGAAAAAAAAGGCTTTCCACTCTATCATTGTGTCTTTCTCAGTGCAAATCTCGGCCCTACAGTGAACAAACAAAGCAGTTAAGCTTAAGACGTCGTGAATATATATATTTAATGATTTTCAGGAAGGAAGTAAATTGGGAAAAAGGAAAATAAAAGGATGCAGTAAAAAGTTTATCCAAATTTACAAACCTCAAAAGATATTTTCTAGTGGGTGTTTGTTAATCTTTGTCAGTCTATGAAACACCGCCTTCATGTTTGTTTTTCTAAAGAACCAACCATTTAACTTTTGAGGGGGGGGTGGGTGATTTCTGGTCATCAAGAAATTTTTTTCTAGCAATCTGCTCTGCAGGATATTTTTTTCCCGATTTTTTAGTACATTTTTCTGTCACATTTGGGCTGCATGCAATTTTTTTCTTCCAACAAGCGCTTGCAGGAAATTATTTTTCAAAATCACCCACCCCCCCTCAAAAGTTAAATGGTCAGCCCCTAATAAATATGAATTGAAAACAAATAGTAAATGTGATGCGTCCAAATAAACTGAGTGTGATTAAGAAGAGCTCAATCAACACCTATTGTAAATGAAACGGAAATTGGGAGCATGTTATTTCCTGATAGTGCTTCAGAAAAGTTTTCCGTTGGAAGTAAAATTGAGTAGGTTTTCTTAAGATAAATGAATAAAGGGAGTGGAAGTTTAAACTGTGGCGCTGTGTCCGTGGGGGAGTATTAGAAGGTGATTATGGTTTTATCAAGTCATAGTAGAGTGTTTTATCAAGGGTTTCAAAGCTGACGTTTCGAGCGTTAGCCCTTCGTCAGAGGCTCTGACTAAGGACTAACGATCAAAGCGTCAGTTTAAATCTTTTACGGTGGCCATTTTACATTATCGACTCAGTTGATGAAACCATAATTTTCTTAAGATAGGCTTGTCCGCGCCTCAGTATCGTAAAAAGCATTTTTACACGATTTTACCGCAAATTGATACAACCATAGGTTTTACTGTAAATACTCTGAAAAGTGCCTTTGAGATCGCTGAGGCGCATCCAGGGGTGGTTCGGTGGAACCCCCCTAAATTTTATAGAAAAGGCGCAATACAAATAATAAATGTCATTGTTATTGTTATTGTTTTCCCTAAAAATGCTAGAAATCCTGTTTCCGAAGACCTCATTTTCAAAATATCCCGGGGGAACATACCCTCGGACAATCCTCCGAACCCCTCTTGACTAAATCCTGGATCCGCCCCAGGATCATGGGCTAGAATCGAGGCTTTATACATGTCCATTACTACCATTTATTATTCTTGAGTTTTCATCAGATGTAATTCGATTTGATCCACTATGAATTTCTCTTTTTATTTCTGGGAAGTGGTGAGTTTTCCATGAAACATTTGGTTATAATTTACCTAACCTCCATATAATTTAGCGTTAGTTTACATTTAGAAGTCGTGGGGCCATTGTGTTTGTAAACAGTGTAATTTTGATTTGTGAGCAATTTGTTCCGATCTTTGATCTATCATTTACAAAAAGAGCTAAAAAAGACTGTGTGTGGTTTGAAGTATTCTTGCCAGAAATTGGTTTAATCATAAGGAAAAATGTTCTTTTTCTTTTCAAAGACAGAAAGATACATAGACATACAAACGAAATACGTTTGTTTTACTATTTAAGCTGTACAAACAACTTAAAATGAAAAATAATCATTTTTACCATATATTTGAGGTCAAGAAAAACTTGCCGTTTCCAGTTTACGGTTTAAATGTATAGCACACTTTGGTCGGAATTAACGCTAATCTCACGAGTTTTGGTGAAACGATTTCTATACTAAAAGCGTTTCAGTTAACAAATAATGACCTCTCAGCAAACACCGGTCTTAATTAAACAGCAGGGGTTTTTTTTAATGAAATACGATAACATTAACTTTCATTTAAAGATAGGACAATGAGGTGGAATTTGACTGAAGTAATATTTAAGATAATTTTTAGATTTATTGATTATATATTGTTGAAAATAGAGCAATTTAGACAGAAAAGTAATCACGACTACTAATGTTCATGATCTGTATTTCGTTTCTCATGCATGCGTTTCTCATAAGAGTTATGTTACCATGGTAACACCATCGAGAACAAGGTGGTTAATAAGCGTTGAATGTTGTCCTTCGGCAGCATTTTAAATCATAAAACTGACAAAATTTCAAATGGACCGTTCAAATGAGGCTTTGAACTACTGTAAAACTGATGTTGAAATTATTTAAAAATCCAAGCCCAGTTCCGTCGATCCACAGAATCATCAGCGATATAAGAAAAATATTCCGCGTACGGCTTAAGTACGAATGTAAAGTAAAAACGCGTGAAAAGCGAATGAATGTGGGAGTAAATTTATAAGATGAATAATAAGGTACAAATATGAATCAAAAACGGATAAAATGATTTCATGAGCGAGTGTCAATGACAAAGAATCTCTCTAGATATGCCAAAGTAGTCATTAGAACAAAAGGTCCGCGAATTCGCTGTATTCCCTCTTTGGAGTTGAGGGTAGTTTTTATATTCGTATGTAAATGCTTCAAACAAGCGTAGATTTTTGGGGTCCTTGTCCAGTATGGCATTGAAATCAAGGCCATTTTGTTGAAAAACGACCCCGCAAATCTACGCTCAACGGCGGTCCGCTGATCCAGAGTTTAGAAACACCCGTCAGTGGCTCGATTTGTGGGCTCACGGTATACTTGGCAGTCCCTCTACTGTGTTGTGGTTATACTACACATGTTTGTTGATAGCTAATTCGAAATGAAAAAATTTAGAAGATAACATATTTCAGTTTCATAGAAAACATGCTTGGATGTAAAAAAAATTGTATGTCTATATAGAAAATAGCACATTTGTTCAAGGAGGCTAACGTTGATAAGAAAAGGAACACTGATCCCATCATGATCACCCTTAAAAAGGAAGAAATTCCTGTTTACCGTGTAGACGCTGGGTCTAGTCTCATTACCAGTTCCACTCAATCCGCATGTAGCCATCTTGGATTTAGTTTGGGAACAGCGCACATGTGTTACCTTATGGTTATGTAGAGCCATAGTAATTTTTGGAGAGGTGGTTTCATCCTCTTTGGAATCTTTCCGTATGCAAGATGCCCCCAACAATCCAGGATGGACAAAAGAACAGAGATCAGGACAGAAGGTTAGACCTGGGAAAAAGTGACAGCAACGTAAAGTTTGTTGTGATACTAAATCGATCTGTTGAAATGGCTTGTTGTTTGTTATTTTTTTTATACATCACAATCTTCTCCGTTAACTCCTCTTAGGCTATCAGTAGCAAATGAAACTGTTGGTAAACGTCGTTCGGAACTGATGTGTCAAATTAACCCGCCAGTCAGCAGATTTCGTGGTTACTTTCAGTATGAAGTGATGTCAGGATGGGGGTGTTATTCGATCTTAACTTACATTGAAACTTGCCCATGAAAAGGGTATTAACCCTACTTGTTACGTCTTTTGCAGGCAAAGTTCATTGCGTCAAACAGTGAGGTAAGCTTTTGCCCAGATTGTTAATTTTTGTCTGGATTAGTTCATCTAAAATCTAAAAAACTTTTACTTTGTTCCTTCAATATATATTTAGATCAAATGTTCTTTCATTTATTAGGTCGGTTTAGCCCGTACTAATTTTATCTTTACGCTGTTTATATTATTTTGTTTTATCCAAGTTTTGTTTTTCTTATATTGTTAAACCTTAAACTGTATATAAATTATTTAAATTTTATTCTTTGTAATTAGTCCTCCCAGTATTGTTATTACTGTTTTAGGAGTATCTCGATTAAAGATCTCAATCAAATGATCAATAATTGTTTTTCTCCGCATGTTGTTATTTGCAGCAAGGCCGATTTTGTGTCTCGGGTTAAATATAACAACAATCTTCCTGATATTCCTTTTGATGCCAAGTTTATTGCTTATCCTTTTGAATCAAACAGGTAATTTAGAATTGGTCAATATACATTTTACGAGAACAAATTTAGTTATCAAATAATGAATAGAGAAAATCAATTTCAGGTGCATACATTATACAAATTACATTTTTTCCACAAGTGGCAGTAATGTTGCAATCTGATCAGCCAATTTGCTGTAGTCAATAAGAGTGCAGACCACGCTGAGCCACTGTCAATTTGTTGAAATTAAATGATATATAAAGAGCTAATATAGCTGATTTAATTAAGTACAGTGTTTTAGTGTTAGGAGAAAGATTTCTGTATAACCCTATACTATTCTAGAACAAAGGGTAGTTCTAAAGGTACTCTATTGTTTTGCCTTTGTTTTCTTTTATCCAAGTACTGTATGCATAAAGCATTGATCAATTTAAAGCTTTAACATCCTGCCAACCTTTCAACAACCCCTGGGCATTTGAACTTTTGAAGATTGGTTTCAATTGTTCAAATTCCAGCCCAATATTTTTGTAAAAGGTAACATCAGTTACTGTGACTTTCTACACATTGAGTTTTTCTTCAGAGCCAATCAGATGTGAAATCGAACTATTTACCCTAAAACACCTCCATCAAAAAATGCGACACTTATTTTGCTGGAAAGATTTTACACATCTGGTTCAAATTCCCCACTCCAACTAGGCAAGGTTAATTCCCAATCCCCCAGCAGGCAGGAGGGGGATGTTAAAGCTTTGAATTTGATCGGTGCCTAATGCTGGGCTTTAAGAAAATCTTGCTGCATTAAAACCAGGGTTAAGGTTTGCTGTTTCTACTGTGACCTCAAGACAACATGGTTTTGAGACAGTAGGAAAAACCTATTAACATTGTTTCTACAGATAAATTGATAATGGTTTCTGAATGTTCAATTATATTAATTTTACTCTCAATTAAACAGTATCATTGGATTTATTGCCAGGTTTGTAGATTATAAACCAACAACATTGGAGAAAAATTACAAGCATGAAATGTTGACAGAGGTGGACTTGGGGGTCAATATTGATCTTATTGACCCAGACACCTACGCCATAGATCATAATGGTAAATCCTCATCTATTGTTAGTCTCTGCTTGATACATCTATTGCTTGAGAATAATTTTGTCATTAGCTATCATGTTTTACTTTACATAACCCTTATAAATTGAAAAAAAAAAAAAAACTTGTATTACTTAACATGCTCATTAACCCTTTAACTCCAAAGATCTGGTTTTAATTCTCACTAGCTGCTACACATTTCCTTGAAAATTGGTTATGGGAATTTGGTATTAGATTAAGATAAAATCTTCTACCTGATAAGTTTGAATATTCTCATGACCTGTTTGCATGATATTGTATGGATATGATAGGGAGAAGTTACTTGTTAATCACTTCAGGAACTTAAAGGGTTAATGAGTTTGTGATTTTAATTTTGACTGAATTGCAGTTTCTCTTGATCATGATGATGAGAAATTATTAGAAGAAGAACCAGTGAACTTGCCAGATAAAAAACGGTATTTATATCACAATTTTTGTCTTGTAGCTCATTTTATTACAAGACTCAGGCAGTTAGAGGGCCAATAACTAAAATAAGCCAATCAGAGTGCTCTATTGCCGGTCAATATTCTCTCAGTATTGGACCGGGCACTGCCCCGAATGGTCCCAAATGATACCGCACTTGAGTCCCTTTGAACTTCAGTTGTATAATAAATCTCTTATTAACCAACCTGTGCGGAAGTCATCATCAGAGTCAAGTGATGACTCTGATGATGACTTCCGCACAGGTTGTCGAAACATCAGTCACTACCACCGACAACAGTCCTTCTCAGGACTACACTCACCCGGACGATCAGACTACACCTTCACAGTTCTGTCATTGTTTGTAACCTCGTACCATCTTCCTGTTGTTTATAGAACAGCCCATCATAACAAGAATGTGTCCTGGCTAAGAAGAACTGAATACATTTCAACTGAGTACAACAGAAGTCGCACTAGTAATGAAATGGTGGAGACAAAGTGAGTCATGTTCTAGTTGTATGTGTGACATTTGTCTATATCTTGTAAATTTGTCTCCCAAATAGATCTTTTTACTCCTATTTACAGGGTTGGATTCAATGTGAAGAAGAAATTCCAAGGCACAGACATTTACAAGGTGACTTTCAAATCACTTGACTTAAACTTGTCTTTTATTTAGTTTTCAATGCACAAAGAAGCAGTAAAAAAAAAAACACAAGTTTTTCCCTCTTTTTCTTTCAGGACCGTGAAAGTCAGATTGCTGCCATTGAAAGCACATTTGATGCTGCTCAGAGACCAGTAAGTGGCCACGAACATCTAAACATGTCTGAACAAAGGCCTCCATTTGGAATGAAAACATCTTAGTTATTGCTTGTAGAATTATCTGATCTGGAAAGCAAATGCTTTCCTGATAGTAAAGATTGAGAAAAAACTGCAAGCTTTAAAGAAGAGATTATGCTGAAGAACAAACGTACAAGCATGCTCTCAAGCCCAATAGATGGGGATGTGTTTATTATCCTTGAGACAATTTGGAAAAGGGACAAACTGTGTACTTACAGCTAACCATAAAAAAAACTTTTCCTATGAGGGGCTTTTCCTCAGAATTCTTTCTTTGCCCCACACTTGTGACAAGATTAAAAAAAAAACATCTTTCTCTGTGTCTGTTTTGTTGCAGATTCTACGCCATCCAACAAAACCTGGTGTCACGCCTTTGGAAGTTCTTCCAGTGTTTCCAGATTTCCAGGTAAATAAATGTTTGATCACTTCTGTGAGTTTTTGCTCTTAGTGTGTCTTTTACTAACATGCCATGTAGTAATTTAAAGGAAAGATCACAGAAACAAGTAGATCAAGATTTGATTCTATGGTATGGGGTGCAACTGACTTTAAAACCATGATGTCCTGCAATTTTTGGCAATTTGGCCTCAGAGTCAACATGAAATATCTACTTGGTATTGATCACTATTAATAGTCAATATGCAATCACAGGAATGTTAAATGACTTCACCAAGTTTGTGCAAGGTTTGTCTTTAACTTTTAAAAACATATTAGGATTTAGACTAACATGGTTCTTATCTAATAGGATTGGAACTTATGAGCCCAGCCTACATTACTCGACTCAATTGAAGGCTCAAAAACATTGTTTTCTCCACAAACTACATTATACTTGTGAGATCCTGTAATAATATTTTTTATTAATCATCTAAAAATGTTTTCTATTTTTATTTTTAGATGTGGGCTCAGCCCTGTGCTCATGTTATATTTGATACTGACCCAACCCCGAGAGGTAGAGGAGGTCCAGCAGAAGATGAGGAAATGTCACAGGCAATGATCAGGTAAAGGGGCAATGATCAGGTAAAGGTCATAAGTTCATTCAGGATCCTCCATCGAGACAAGTTTGAAATCATTGCTGTGCTACAGAAACCAGCTCATGACTTTACATGTACCCGGTAACTAATACTAAATGCCTTTTTTCTCAACAATTTTCACTAAGCCACATTTTAAGTTACTATCGTTTGTCTTCCTGTAGAGGTATGGTGGATGCCAGTGGAGATCAGTTTGTGGCATACTTCCTTCCCTCAAAAGAGACAATCAGGAAACGAAAAAGAGACCAAGAAGGTGAAACAGAATATACAGAAGAGGAAGAGTGAGTATTTTTTACACCAAGTATCCAGTTTCCTAGTATCGTTTAACTCCCAAGATCTGGTTGTTAATTCTCCCCTCTTGCTGTTACACATTTCCTTGTTAAGTAGTTACAAGAATTTGGTGTTAGATCAAGATGACAACTTGCTGATAAGTTTGAGTTTTCTCATTACCTGTTTGCTGGATAATGTATGGATATTATAGGGAGAAGTTACATCCAGGGAGTTAAAGGCCAAGTTAAAACATTTTAGGTACATAAAACACATAGATGTAGACAATTTTTAACTCATCAGCCTCTTATGGATAAGGATGAATAAACCGTAGGTCCCGTCTCCTGCATCTATTAATTGGTTCATTTGGTTAGGTAGGGGATGTTAAAGAACTCACTCACGAGATTACTGTGATGTGGTCTGGCCTGTTTACTGGGAATTGGGGGCATCTGTTAGAATCGCCTTTATTGATTGTAAACTGCCACTAGCAGTCTGGTAAAGTCCCCCGGACAGTGTTGTAAAACAACTCGCAATTCAGCATTAATTGTTCCAAGTAGTTGTTTTGTTATCACTATCACTATCACTTATGCCTAAATCAGATTAAAACCATGGGATTCCTTTTTTCTGTACAAGATATCCTACATGGGAATATTTATTTTATTTTTTTTTTTAACTTGATATTGTTTTTCACAGATATGAGTACAAAATGGCACGTGAATATAATTGGAATGTAAAGAACAAGGCCACCAAGGGTTACGAGGTAAAAAGGAAAGGTTGTGAGTCATTTGTTTGATCTTTAATTGATATTGTTTTCCTCTTTTATGTTCCCTAGTGGCAGTTTCAGTTAAAATTAAACAACTGAATAAAATCTTGTATTCTGATTGGTTAATTAAGTGAGGAATTTTGCATGGAATTGCGAGTTGAAAATGAGGATAAGTGATATTGTTTTGCATCTCTTGTTTCGTGCTGAGGATAAAAACAATATTATTGCTGTTTTCTTTTTTTCTTACTTTTATTCAGTTATGTGATTCAAGGAAAATCAATTACCTGACTTGAAAATTCCATTTTGAATTGCACTTGAAAACCGTTATTGCACTCATCGCTTCATGATTTGTGTGATTTAGGTTTTCACAAGCAATTTAATGCATAATTCCCTCAACAGGTAATTAATTTTTCTATATAATAACTCTTTTTGCTCATATTATTTCTAGGAAAACTACTTCTTTGTGTTCAGAGAAGGAGAGGGAGTTTTCTACGATGAACTGGTAACAAGGTAAAGTTTCCTTTATGCACATTTTAGGGCTCTTCTAGATCAAATGGGAATTTTCACTCTTCTGTACACAACTGTTCATTGATAAAATTTCATTGCAGGGTTCACTTGAGCAAGCGGCGTGCTCGTGGCGGTGCTGGTGGGGTGCAATCAGCAGTCTCCCAGCTAGTGGTGAAACACAGGGAATTGAATGAAAATGAAAAGAAAGCTCAGGTGAGAGAGAAGCTTTCAGAAGAGGCAATGGTCATCCAAAACAATTGGCCAGTCTGCTGTCTATCCCAGCTATTTTCTCATAATTTAGCCATAATTTGTGTTAAAAAATCATTCAATTTTTGTATTACTGTTGAAGAAATCTTTACTACAGCCATTTCCCAGTTTTGAATGGAATTGGATGCAAAACATACCAGTAATAGGTGTAGATGTGAGAATCCATTTTCAAAATTTGCTCTAAGGTTTGCAAAAACTTTGTGGAGTGCATGGAGTGTTTCTACGGAATAGTTCACGGTCTGGCTTGTAATCTGAGGAGACAATGTAGCATCTATACCCTAGCCACCTGCTAATCCTTATTTGCCATCTACTTTCAAACTCATTGACAGCCCTGAGTGGAGAGTAGCCCTAAGAGTGGCCCCACTGTATATGAAAAATATATATATTTGAAGTCATGGATTGTCAAGGGCAGGTCAATTGTGGGCTCATGTGTTTCTGGTGCTATCAGTATCTGTTCTGAAAGGAGATCTGGTTAACTTTTTTTTTTCTAAATTAACAACGATAATATTTTTGTTTCTTCAGCAAATGCGCAGGAATCAGCTGGACACAGCTTTGGCAGAAGAGGAAGATGAAGAGGAGGGTGATGAAGATGACGAAGGAGAAGAAGCTGCTGAGAACGAGGAGGAAGACAACCAAGACAATGATATTGATGATGAGGATGATGATGTAAAAGAGGACGATAACGAAGCAGAACAGGAGAGTAATGATGAAAAAGATGAAAAAGATGAGAAAGAAAGCAGCGAAGAAGAAGCATCAAGTCAAGAAGAATCAAACAGCGAAGAGGAGGAAGATGATGTTGAGTGATGAAGTTGTTCCATGCTCATTTTGAAACATGGCAGAGAAACTGCAGAATTGTTGATGAACTGATTGTCATAGCTTTCCAAACAAATTAGTCATTGCCAGGATCTGACCATGGAAAGCACAGAAGGGTAGAGTTGTTATGCATTCCAAACAAGTAGCATTTAACAAGCATGTCATTGCTTCTGATAACTGACTCTTCACATTCAGGCAATGGCATTTTCCCTTTAACAGATTGCTGTCAACAATGCCAAGCATATATGCAACAATTAGATTCCATTTTGCCAGGATTTTGTATAGTAATAGATCCCAGATGATGTCAAAATGTAGTTGGTGGCACTCAAGGCATGTTCGTACCACAATTTGACGTCTTCTGCAATCCATTTCTGCAAAATGGAATCCATTTGTTTAATATGATAAAAAAAAAAGTAAAATGTTGTTAATGATTATGTCATCTATGCATCTATTCTTCACTAAATCATTAGTAAGAGCTAATCAGAATGCATATACAATTTAGCCTATCGTTTGAAAATTGTTTGCACATTGGTTCACGATGGATTTTTCTCATTAGACTCTCCATAAACTTTTAGCAATTTGTTTATTTTGAATATCAAACAGTCATTTACAGGATGGTGATTAATTAAGCACAACTCAAATTAATCTTTATATCATTGCAATTTGGAATTTTCATTGTGTTACTTTATGTTTTACTTTACATTCATAACAAAAACTTACCAAACACACAAAAAAACTGTTCCTCTGTATGTATCCCTGACCAGTTAAAATAAACAGAACCTACCTAATCATAGATTCTTTCTAACTCTGTTTGCAGGGCAGTTAGTCTCTGTTGTTTGCAAATTCAAGAACTATGCTGGGTTGTTTGAAATACTATTCTGTCAGTTAAAAGCTGATCCTTGGTTTGCTTGCTGTTTATTGGCATGGCATTTAACTCTTGACTAAAACTTCTCGTTCTTACACTACATGTGTTACACTAAGCAGTATTCATTCTCACTCTGTTTGTATACATCACTGTTCTGTAGCAGTTTGTCAAGTGATTCCTCAACTTGTTTTAGTGTTACATGTTGAAACGTGCGAGAGGAATGAAGGACATCCATGATGGCCCATTTGGAGACAGACAAACCTGATGGTCCTTAAAAAGCAAAAGAGATTAATGCCAGTTGAATGAGTATCATGGTCATAACTGTGACTTCTGAGTGGTAAATATTTCACTAAAAACTGCTGACTGACTCTCTGATGCACTGACTGACAGACTGACTGACTCCCTCATTCATTGACAGACTGACTCACCGATGCACCAAGGCACTGACTGACTGACTGACTCCCTCATT